ACAAACACAAGGTGATGGCGGATTCTTGGTCCCTAATCTTCCCCACCTCATGTCCTGGCCGACTTGTCCCCTTCGTTCTTCTGTGCACAATTACATCACTTCCCATTGACAACAAGTTAAGCAACAGGATAAAGTTGATCTTTCATATCTGATACCCTTTAATCTCCTCCTGCTCCACACCCACACGGACGGGTCAGACTCAGAGGCTAGCTAAGCTAGCACCTATGAACTGCTCTTCCTTCCTCGTGGAAGATTCAAACCACCACCCCATGCACGCAACCGCGAATGTAACATCAAATGCTGCTAATCCCATGTTCCGCCTCCGGGTGTGATGATAGGGATTAGGGATCGAGGCTGTCGTCGTTGGTTGTGTACAAGTCAGAGATGGTTCCTTGCGGGCATGGGTTTCTAACTGTGCCATATGTAGGTTATTGTTTCCGTAAACCGTATTGTCGCTGCACTGTCTGTTCATACACAGCCAGGTGTGCTTAATACTGAATGAATAATGAAGAGTGGAAGAACAAATCTCAGCTGTTGTTTTCTCCGGTCCGGCCTAGCTTGAAGACACATACATTACTGGGTTGTCGCACATCATCACATGCAGCTCTCCATGGTTAGTTATATGTATACGGTTATGTGTACATCGACGGAAGTACGGTGTCGTAAACGAGATCGAGCAGTAAACTAATACCACATGCATCATCAGAGTGTATATATACGTACATACTACGGCTTGTATGGACAGGCGACAGTTATCATCAGGATGTGGTGTTAATATTATCACTAACTGGACAGTGAAAATGGCAGGCGGGTTAAGCCAAGGGGAGCTTTCCTTGCAGTTGGATGCATGCATGATTAGGTCAACCCCAGCTTCATTGGTGGTTGTGACTCGAGCCCTCGCGCCGTCGCGGTCGCCGGTGGAGTCCGGGGCACGAATCCGTGTGGAACACAGTGCGCTACTGACAAGGAGACAGGGACGATGATCACGCCGGACCGGGGCCGGAGCTAGCCGAAGTGTCCTACGTACGTTCACTAGAGACAACCGAGCGAGGCCGTGTCTGCATGCATGTGGAGTGACGACGGCATCAGTGTTCTTAATTGCTAACGCCAATGCTGCCTTCCACGTTACTGATCCTGATCGTGCACATGACTTTTTTTTTTTTGCCCTGGGCTCATTTTAGTTTTGATAGCTTTGTACCAGATATTTCATTGTACGTAATTTCTTTGCCTATTTACAGTAACGGGATTGCTAAATCCCAGTCTACTGAGAGTTAATGAAGTCTCAGTCGATGTTATATCCGTGAGATCATATGTGAAGATCCATGTACATTTTCTTTTAAGTTTTTCTTTCTTCTTTTTTATATGTTTTGTCACTTGATTGAGATCTAGCCACACCCTTATAATTACATGTATACCGTATCAAGCCACACACTTACATATGAGACCAATCAAATTTTTGATTCGCGAGGCAATCCTATGACTTCCCAGGTGCATGCCCCCGCACGTACGTGCCCACATGGAATTCTCGCTCAAATGCTAGATGGGTGGCGTGTTCCTTAAGGATGACTTTGGCACTGCCGATGGGGTGCAGGACAAGCTCGTTAAGCTGGACTTGAGTCGTACCTCCCACACCATCATCCCTCTCACTTGCGATCAAGCATGTTTTTGTTCTTCGGGTGAAAATTTTGTAGTCAATCTTTTTTGGCTGGATCAAGCAATGTCCATACCCTTTTTTGTGTTCCTTAAGGATGACTTTGGCACTTCCGATGGGGTGCATGATGAGCTGGTTAAGCCGGACTTGAGTCGTACCTCCCACACCATCATCTCTCTCACTTGCGATCTAGCATGTTTTTGTTCTTCGAGTGAAAATTTTGTAGTCAATCTTTTTTGGCTGGATCAAGCAATGTCCATACCCTTTTTTGTGTTCCTTAAGGATGACTTTGGCACTTCCGATGGGGTGCATGACGAGTTGGTTAAGCCGGACTTGAGTCGTACCTCCCACACCATCATCTCTCTCACTTGCGACCTAGCATGTTTTTGTTCTTCGGGTGAAAATTTTGTAGTCAATCTTTTTTGGATGGATCAAGCAATGTCCATACCCTTGTTGAAGGTGTTGGCTAGAAGTTTTGCTTCGGGGGTGATAACCATATGTTTGACCTCTTGGTTAGACCCAATAACATTAGTACACAAATCATCGTTCCTTCTTTAGGGCGTTGTCTTTGTGTACCACATTCTCAATCAGGTTGTGCAGTTTTATCAATGGTTTATTTTTCCACTAATAGGTTTGTGGACTGCGGTTGTCGTTTGGAGATGTCGGCTATCATGAGGCATGTTGGTATCAAGTTATTTTTGGTAATACCATTATTTCGCCC